GGATTTAGAACAGGAGGAGGTAGTTTAGGCACTTGTGTCTGTGGGGGGGGAAGTTTAGGAACACGAGGGGGACTTACATTTGGTGGTGTCTTAGGCATAACTGGGGGATTGAGAATTGGAGGAGGAAGTTTGGGTGAAAATGGTGGATATGTAGTGGGAGAAGGCGTTTTAGGCACCTCTATATGTGGGGGAGGCAATGTAGGTAAATGAGGTGGACTTACAATTGTAGAAGGTGGTTTAGATATAATTGGTGGACTGAGAATGGATGGAGGAAGCTTCGGTGTAAATGGTGGATATTTAGTTGGAGGAGGCATCTTAGGAACCTGTGTAGGTGGGGGTGGAAATATTGCTACATGAGGTGGACTTAAAATAGTAGGCGGTTTTGGTAGAGATGGCGGATTCTGAATTGGAGGAGGTTGTTTAGGAACTTGTGTATGTGGGGGAGGAAGTTTAGGAACATGAGGAGGACTTACATTAGGAGGTGTCTTAGGTATAATTGGGGGATTGAGAACGGGAGGAGGAAATTTGGGTGAGAATGGAGAATATGTAGTGGGAGAAGGTGTCTTAGGCACCTCTATATGCGGGGGAGGCAATGTAGGTACATATGGGGGAGTTACAATAGTAGGAGGTGGTTTAGATATAATTGGTGGACTGAGAATGGATGGAGGAAACTTTGGTGTAAATGGTGGATATTTAGTGGGAGGAGGCATYATAGGAACTTGTGTGAGTGGGGGTGGAAATATTGCTACATGAGGTGGACTTAAAATAGTTGGCGGCTTTGGTAGAGAGGGTGGATTTAGAACTGGAGGAGGTAGTTTAGGCACTTGTGTCTGTGGAGGGGTAAGTTTAGGAACACGAGGGGGGCTTACATTTGGAGGTGTCTTAGGCATAAATGGGGGGTTGACAACAGGAGGAGGAAGTTTGGGTTGAAATGGTGGATATGWAGTTGGAGAAGGCGTTTTAGGCACCTCTATATGCGGGGGAGGCAATGTAGGTATTTGAGGTGGATTTACAATAGTAGGAGGTGGTTTAGATATAATTGGTGGACTGAGAATGGATGGAGGAAGCTTTGGTGTAAATGGTGGATATTTAGTAGGAGGAGGCATCTTAGGAACCTGTGTAAGTGGAGGTGGAAATATTGCTACATGAGGTGGACTTAAAATAGTAGGCGGCTTTGGTAAAAATGGCGGATTTAGAACTGGAGGAGGTAGTTTAGGCACTTGTGTCTGTGGAGGGGTAAGTTTAGGAACACGAGGGGGACTTACATTTGGAGGTGTCTTAGGCATAAATGGGGGGTTGACAACGGGAGGAGGAAGTTTCGGTTGAAATGGTGGATATGTTGTCAGAGAAGGAGTCTTAGGCACCTCTATATGCGGGGGAGGCAATGTAGGTACATGAGGTGGACTTACAGTAGTAGGTGGTGGTTTAGATATAATTGGAGGACTGAGAATGGATGGAGGAATCTTCGGTGTAAATGGTGGATATTTAGTAGGCGGAGGCATCTTAGGAACCTGTGTAAGTGGGGGTGGAAATATTGCTACATGAGGTGGACTTAAAATAGTAGGCGGCTTTGGTAGAGATGGCGGATTTAGAACTGGAGGAGGTAGTTTAGGCACTTGTGTATGTGGGGGGG